CTACATCAGCTTCTGTGAGGACTGCTGTATCCCAACACGTACCGGGGTGAACTTCAACAACAACAAGCCCTGGTTCTCAGCAAAGCTCAGAAGGTTGAGGTTGGAGAGGGAGGAAGCGTTTAGGAGTGGGGATAGAGACAGATTCAAGGAGTCGAAGAACAGGTTTAGCAAGGCGGTGAGAGAGGCTAAACGACTGTACTCAGAGAGAATAAAACACCAGTTCTCTGCTAATGACTCTGCTTCTGTCTGGAGAGGGCTCAGGCAGATCACCAACTACAAACCCAGAGCCCCCACCCCACTAACGACTCCCGCCTAGCCAACGACCTGAACGAGTTCTACTGCAGATTTGAAAGACAATTGGACTGTGCTGAACTACCCATTCCCACTCAAGAGGCCCCATCTCCTACCCATACTACAGAGACGACTCTCTCCTTTCAGGAGGGAGAAGTTAATAGACTTTTCAAGAGGCAGAATCCACGAAAAGCAGCTGGGCCAGACTCTGTCTCTCCAGCCACCCTCAGGCACTGCGCTGACCAGCTGTCCCCGGTGTTCACGAACATCTTTAACACCTCCCTCGAGACATGCCATGTACCAGTCTGTCTCAAGTCCTCCACCATAATCCCTGTGCCCAAAAAGCTAAGGCCAACAGGACTAAATGATTATAGACCGGTCGCCCTTACAGCTGTGGTAATGAAGGCTTTTGAGCGCCTGGTCCTGGCACACCTCAAAGCCATCACAGACCCTCTCCTGGACCCCCTTCAGTTTGCCTACAGAGCCAACAGGTCTGTGAACAACGCAGTTAACATGGCCCTCCACTTCACCCTACAGCATCTGGACTCCCCAGCATCCTATGCCAAGATCCTGTTTGTGGACTTCAGCTCTGCCTTCAACACCATCATCCTTGCCCTGCTGCAGGACAAGCTCTTCCAGCTGAACGTGCCCGACTCCACCTGCAGGTGGATCACAGACTTCCTGACAGGAAGCAGTGCGTTAAGCTGGGAACACAAGTCTCTGACTCCAGGTCCATCAGCACTGGAACTCCTCAGGGCTGCGTCCTTTCTCCACTGCTCTTCTCCCTGTATACTAACAGCTGCACCTTCCATCATCTGTCCGTCAAACTCTTGAAGTTTGCGGACCACACCACCCTCATTGGGCTGATCTCTGGTGGGGATGAGTCTGACTATAGGTGGGAAGCTGACAACTTGGTGACCTGGTGTAGCCAGAACAACTTAGAGCTAAATGCTCTAAAGACAGTTGAGATGGTTGTGGACGTCAGGAAGATACAGCCCCAATCACCACAATCACCCTGTGCGACTCCCCAGTCAAAATTGTAGAGTCCTTCCACTTCCTGGCCACTATTCTATCCCGGGACCTCAAGTGGGAACTGAACATCAGCTCCCTCACCAAGAGAGCACAACAGAGGATGTACTTCCTACGGCAGCTGAATACATTCAACCTGCTAAAGACAATAATGGTGCAATTCTATACATCAATCATTGAATCCATCCTCACCTCCTCCATAACCGTCTGGTACGCTGCTGCCACTGCCAAGGACAAGAGCAGACTGCAGTGTATCATTCACACTGCTGAGAAGGTGATTGCCTGCAATCTACCAACCCTCGAGGACCTGCACACCACGAGGACCATGAGGCGAGCGAGGAAGATTGTTGGCGATTCCTCCCCCGCTGGACACTCTCTGTTTCAGCTACTCCCCTCCGACAGAAGGCTGCGGTCCATTATGATCAAAAACCTCATGCCACAAAAACAGTTTCTTCCCACCCGCTGCTGGCCTCTTAAACAAGGCCAAGGGCTTACACTGACTTTAACATTTTATCTACAAAATGACACCTTGCCAATATTAACTGTGTTACCCTATTTGTATTTTTTTTATTTTTAGATTGTATCTTATAGCTATTTTATATTCGATATTTATTCAATTTTATTTACTTTAGCCCCTTGGTGTTAGTTAGACTTTGAACCCTTATTATAGTAAGACTTGTTTACCACTTATTTAAGATTTTAGATTCCTATATGTTGAATGTATGCACAATCCTGTCAAAGTAAATTCCGTGTCTGTGTGAACTTTCATGGCGAATAAAACCCTTTCCGATTCTGAACACATTGCACTTATTCTTTTCCAAAGGGCCCCAGGGGAATGCCTCGTACTTCTTGCATTACAGATTGACATGGCTCCTGCAGAGGCTGGGGATGGCCTCACTGCCACGAGGCGTACCCCTTGCCTGGCCGCAGGGGTGGTTGAATGCAGAAATTGACAGCTATATCACAGAATACGGGCTGGCCCGGAAACTGGACACATGGTGCCCGAAATAAGTGTAATGAGAGTGCGCCACTTACAATAGTCACCTACAGGATGACCGGGGGATTATTGCAGATATGTGCTATGTTGTCTCACATCCAATCAGTAATGGGGATCCGATCTGGGTGAAAAGTAAATGGGCGGAGCTAGCGGGAAGCCTCGAGAGCCCTCCAGAAGGTTCTGAGAGGGGCGTGACTAGAGGCGGGGCTTAGCCCGGCCGAGAGGGATATAAGCAGGAGCAGAGGACTCGAGGTCGTCAGTGTGAAGAGCCTGGGTCTGAACGTCATCACCACCCACGCTACTACCATCAGCCACGTGGCGGGCTCTACCATAAGAGCCTCCCCTCTCTCCGACACGCCATCAGCCAGCGGCGAGGCGGAGAGAGAGCGAGTGCCATGGCGGCGTGAGGCAAGCGTGCGCCGCGTCCCGAGAGCAAGAGAGAAGCAGGCCGCGAAGGAACGAGGGAGACACGTGCTGTATTGCAACTTAAGAATAAATACAACTTAAGTTTAACCCGTATCGGAGACGCTAATTACAGAAGTACAGGCCGAGATTGACGAGAAGGAGAACTGCACGATGGTACCAGGAGTGCGGCGCAACATGCACCGCCAAATCTGGGAAAATGTTTTATCAGAAGCCCTGACGAGGGGGTAACTGCACCTCCTCCACCGCTCCGTTGTCCCAGGGTATCCCCCAGGGATCGGTGCTTGGACTTTGCTCTTCATACTATACCTGCTTCCCCTTGGCAACGTCATTCGCCACCATGGTCTTAACTTTCACTGCTATGCCGATGATGTCCAGCTCTACATCTCCACCAAATCCATTACCTCCGCCACCCATTCTACTCTCTCTAACTGCCTCGCTGACATTAAATCGTGGATGCACACCAATTTCCTTAAACTTAACTACGACAAAACAGATATGATCATCATCGGTCCCAAATCTATCACTAAATCCATTCGCAGTTTCTCTGTCACTGTTGACACCTTCACCCTGTCTCCATCCCTTCAAAGTCACAACCTTGGAGTCATTTTTGACAATAACCTCTCCTGTGAACACCACATAAAACAAATCACCAGAACTGTCTTTTTTCACCTCAAAAACATCTCCAGACTTCGCCCATCACTCTCTTTCTTCGCTGCAGAAACCCTCATACACGCCTTCATCACCTCCAGAATCGATTACTGCAACAGCATCCTATACGGCACCTCAACCAAAACATTAAATGAACTCCAGTACATCCAGAACTCTGCTGCTCGTCTGCTCACTCACACCCGTACCGGTGACCACATTACCCCTGTCCTCCAGAACCTCCATTGGCTCCCGGTCCCACAACGAATTCAATTCAAAATCCTCCTCCTCACACATAAAGCCCTTCGTAACCAGGCCCCTTCCTACCTCACTGACCTGCTCCACTGCCACAACCCATTCCGTAGCCTTCGCTCATCTGACGCCAACCTCCTGACTCCACCTCTCAGGACCAAGCATCGAACCTGGGGCGACAGAGCCTTCTCTATAGCTGCCCCCTCACTTTGCAACTCTCTCCCAAAACAAATCCGTGACTGCACAGACCTTCCAGCGTTCAAATCATTGACTAAAACTCACCTTTTTCAAATTGCTTTTAATGTTTAGCTAAGTTTGATGTGTTTTTAGTGTTTTTACCATTTGATGTTGTTTTTTCTGCTTTTATGATTTTATGTAAAGTGTCTTTGAGTATTCAGAAAAGCGCTCACAAATAAAATGTATTATTATTATTATTAACATGATCTGTCCTGGCTGGCCGCCTGAAACAGATTAGAATGTAGAAAATGTATGTTCTCCTGTCACACGGCCACAACCCCCAAATGCCTAAGGGAATGCGGCTTGGATGAGAGCTCGGTGCACGTCCTTATCAGGTGCCCTTTCGCACAGGAGATGTGGGGTTTGAGTGGGCCACTGCTGTCTCGCTTTTGTTCGGTAAAAGCAACGGTGCTGATTGTGATTTGGGGGCTTTTCAGGCAGAAGGTGGGAGGGAACTGGGCCCAGACATGGGCCATTATTGGAGCCATTAAAGAGGCCCTCTGGAGAGCATGCGGGCGAGAGATAAAAGGCACCCATGTCACTGCTAGAGGTATGCTACCTAGCCAGAAGGCCAATTGAGAAAGTGGTGGAGGTGGAACGAGTAAGAATGGGAAACCAAATAGCGAACGAGAAATGGTGGTGGCCTTTACCCCCCGTGTGGGGAACCGAATGAGAGAGGCTGAGCCCGAGAACGCCCTCTGACTCGGAGAAGGGACGTATGAGTGTTTATTACGGCGGATGCGGTCGTATCCTGTTGCCGTCCCAAAGTGGTGTGGAGACAACTTACTGTTTCTTTCGTCCTCTTCCCGTTTTTCTCTAACTGGTGCAATGGATGCGCGGGACTGTGAAGTTGTGTTTGTTTCTCCGGTGACGCGTTAAGAGCCCCTGTGCGGGCTGTAGTTTAAGCTCTCGTTTTTTGCCGCTCGGCAACGGACTGTCAATGCTGAGAAATTAATACTTTTCATAAAACGACAATGCTGACTTCTGCTTGTTGCTGGATGATAAGGGAATATATTACCTAGAGTGCCTTTATTCTCTCCTACTTTTGCTCCAGCTGATCCAGATGCAGTAGAAGCTTCTGCAGCAGCTGCAGCTGCAAAAGCGCAGCACGACGTGGAGCATCATGGAGTCGGCTTGCGTGATGATCCACGAGGCTCTCAAGTCGGTCATGAGCTCCCTGACGAATCACCGGCTGGAGGAGGCGCAGGATCGCTCTCAGGCGGAGCACCTCAACTCGCGTGTCATGCTGTGGTCGGTGGGCAAGATGCTCGTGCTGCTCTCCATGGTGGTCAGGCAGGTGATCCTCCTCAAGAGCTTTGCGGACAAGCACCCGGGCTCCTCATGCGTCGGCCTCTAGCCCCGATGCGGGGCAGTGCGCTGCTTGCTAGCCCACCCGCACCATTTTCTAGCCCAAATGGCTCATTTAAAAATTAAACGTAATGGACATTTTGTTTAAATAGGTCTGCCTCGGAGAGCCAAAACATGCATTTTACAAAAAATCGTTGGCAGTGCTGTTTCTCCCTGCTTTTGTTTGGTTGTCGGTCTGTGGTGCCACAACTGCGGAGCAACTTCAAGTGCTGCGATTCCCTCCCGGCCCCCACACGAAACAGACACCCGCACGCAGTGCACCCACGTAGTGCCCTGGCGGGGGATTGCCAGGCACAACGGGTTTTAATACAAAGGGCACCTAGATTGAAAGTTCCATGGTTTCCCAGTGCCAGGAGATTGGCCGACCCTCGCAGGGCTAGTTACATTGCGATGCCCCTAAGATTGGTTTAAAATTGTAGGGGTGCAGAAAAAAAAGGTTCCCTGGGCCAACCACAATGAGGTACAACTCGGGGGGGGGGGGGGAGGAAATCACTAGATCAGTGGGGGCCTGGCAAGAGGCGGCTGACGAAGTGGAGGAGGGAGTGAGGGGCGCAAACGTTGCGCTCCACCTGCCCGGCAAGGGCGGTGGGGCGGACGTCGGCCTCCACACCTGCTTTGGAAACTAAGCCATTAGCTTTGCTCAAAGGTCTGCAGAAAATGTAAGATGGGTGATAGTGGTGTCAAAAACTAGAAGGACTGAGTGTGTGGCGTAGAGAAGCGCCGATAGTAATATTCATCCCAGTGGCCCCCCAGATCATTCTCTGGGGGCACATTTACGTAAACACCAACCGAATGGGATAGATCGTGGCTGCTGCGGAATGTAAAAACGTGTATTGTAGTCACAGCACAGCTGTTGCATTTACTACTAATTTGTGTAAAAGATGGCTATAAATGTCACTCAGTTTGCACTATTTGCTGTTCATCTTACATCTTGGAACGTTGACCCACTGTTTACACTTTGGCTGCGAGAAGTCGAGTTATTATTATTATTTAGAGGTGAACTTAAAAACACATTTATGTTTGACTGGTGGGAACGTGAGAGAGGAGGCGAGACACCGTGGAGGAGGGAGGCGGACGCCACTGACCTGAGAAAGGAGGACGAGGCAACAGTGACACCAGCAGACCAGGAGGAGTGTGGAGCCCAGGCGGAGGTAGCGGCAGAAGCAGGACCGGTGGGGGCCTGGCGGCCACAGGAACAGGTGGGGCAGTGGCGCCAGGGCGACTTTTACGCCAAGCCACGCCAGAAGGCACAACTGCGTCAGGATGGAGGTAAAAGGCGATGTGCCGGAGTACGTGACTATCAACCGGGCGAGCGTCATGAGGTCGATAGTTGTTGGGTTATTACAGGTGGAGCCAACCGATTTTTACTGCTTGATAGCCCTACCGGGAGGCAGGCATTTGACATCATCTTCAAAACGAGCCTCCTGCTACAGAATTTATGACCCGTTTTGAGAAGGCGGGGGAGAAACTGCTAGCACTGCTGAGGCTGCAGATGTTGTCGGAATTAGATACGAAAGTGGTGACCGTCTTCTTATACAACGAAGCCTTACCGGATCATGACATGGGGGTCTGGCTAAAACAACATTGTGTCAACTGTTGTTTGGCTGCAGAAATATCCAGGACTCACTGGGGATATGGGTCAGGGCAATACAGTGGAGAGTGAGGCTGAAGACAAAGGGGGCGCCCTGAAACATATCCCAAGTGCCCTGAACATAGGCGGCAGCCGTGGATATGTGTTGTATGCGGGGCAACCCAACCTCTGCAGGTGTGGGGGTCGAGGGCACCTGGTGGCTGCGTGTGCGGCGAAGATATGTTTCAGGTGCAATAAGAACTGCCCAGAATTGTACGCCAGTATGGTCAGGACTCATAGGTGTAGGGAGACCGGAGATGAATGGAGCGGGGGGGAGTGACCGGGGCCGAGGCGGGTCAGGAGATGGCTAATGGGACGACGGAGGAAAAACGCGGGGAGGTGGCCGAAAAGCGGACTCCGAAACAGGACGAGAGAAAGGGGAGGGGGACACCTTCGGAGGTGGAGGAAGCACCAACGAGCTTGCAGGAGGGGGACCTCGAAAGCGGAGAAGTGGGGGACGCCTCCGAGACGGCTGTGGCTGTCTGGGCGGAGGCTTTCGTGTAGAAGGGAGAATTACGACTGGGGAGAGACAGGGGAGAGGACGACAAAAAGAAAGGACGCCAAGGGACCCAAAGAGAGTGGCCCCTCCACGCGAAATTGAGTGCTCTAACTCCTCACCAGATACAGCGACGTCGAGGTAAGGGATAGTAGTAGCGACAACGGGGAGTCACGGCAAGGAGAGACCCTCGAAATCCAGAGGTAAGATAAAATTGTTGGAACTGACAGACAAGAACTCCTAAAGAGTGTGTGCAGAGGGGTCAGAGATGGACTAAGGCACATCTGGGGATGGAGCTTACCGTGGCGTCAGTGAATGTAAGGGGGATCAAGAGCAACACCAGAAGGGGAGCAATAATGCAGCTACTGCAAGCCACCAAGAGGGATGTAACTTTTCTTCAGGAATGCCATCTACCATATACCCTGGGCCAGGACGAGTTGCAAGGAAACTGGGAGGGGTTATTAATACTGGTTGGGGAGCAACAACAACCAAAGCACGGGGGTGGTTACCCTCCTGAGAAGGAGGGATACACAGGTACGAGGGTCCGAAGGAGGTAATCTCAGGCCGGCTCCACTACGTGAACGTGTCGTACGGAAACGCAGAACTAAGGCTGATAAACGTGTACGCCCCCACATGATATGCTGAAAGGATGGAGCTGTGGGACAATCTAGCGGCCTTGTTGGTGACAAGAAAGTAGGTCATCATGGGTGGGGATTAACTGCCCGCTGTGTTTGGCAAATGTACGACCAGTAACCGTGGGCCGGAGGCTTGACCCCTCTTCCCGAAAGCTGAATGAACTGATCACGGACTTTGGAATGATCGATACATATAGACTGAGGCACCCGTTGTGGCCAGGGTATACATGGTCAGGGGGGGGTCCACGGAGCCGGGGGGGGGGGGCGTCGGAGCCTGGGGGGGGGGCCGACAGAGCCGGGGGGGGGGGCGACGGAGCGAGCAGAAGGAGCCGACACTGACCTTCTCTTACATCATACACTGATTCACTCACACATCATGCACTGACTCGCTCATCATGCACTTACTCACACATCATACACTCGCACAACCACTGACCCATTCACTCATCATACACAGGTTCACTCATCGTGTGCTGGCTCACTCGCACATCATACACTGACTCTCTCATCATGCGCTGACTAACACATAATACACTCACTCAACCTAATACTGACTCAATCATCATACGCTGACTAACACATCATACGCCGACTCGCACATCATACACTCACTCACGCTGCTGCTGACTCACTCACACATCATACACTGGGAGTGTCGTGCTGCCAGCTATGGCTGGAGGTTTTGTCGTACGTGTTATGTATATCGTTTATTGTTAAATTTAAAATCACAGTTCCTATGATTACTGTTGCTACATTGTTTTTGAAGCTTTATTTTGGTCTGGTTGTGGTGTAATAGTTTTCTGCAATGTAGATTCATATTTTGTTTGTTGCTGTTGCACCCGACTTAAGATCCGCATGGCTCACAGGGCTATACCCAATAAATTACACTTGAAAACTTGAAACTTGAGACAAAGCTGGCAGGGCGCAATCGCGAATAGACTTTTTTTATTTGTATCCGCCAAAGTAAAGGTGGAAAGGGTGGGACTGGAACCCATCTTCCCTTTCGGACCACAACTTGTTGGTGGCGAAGCTCTGCATCCCAGGCAGTTTTAAAATAGGGGGGGGGGATTTAGAAAATTAGCATAAGCCTATTGGAGGACGCGAAAGTAGGGGAGGGCTTTGGAGAGAAGTACGAATAATGGAAGAGTGTGCTGGATTGCTTTGGCATGAGAATAGAATGGTGGGAAATGGTGAACAGTAGGATTATGAACTTCTTCCAGGCCCACAGCTGGAAGGAGTGTGGGGAGAGAATTGCAGCAATGGAACGAAAGATTTGAGAAGGAATATAAACTGTTTGAACTGGGTTTCCCGGTAGGAAATGAGATGAGGCGGTTCAAAGATAAAATTGCCTTAATACTGGGAAGGAATAACAAGCAACTATTGTACAGGGCGCGGGTCAGGGCGACAGAGGGTGAAAAATCCATGCAATTTTTATTTCAGAAATGTAGGCCGGGGGATGGCACGATTAGAGAGTTAGTGTGCCCAATGAGAGCAGGGTGAATGCCATGGAAGAGATAGTGGAAGAGGCACAGGCCTACTATAGGGAGTTGTATAGGAGAAAGGAATCGGATGAGGTGACATGGGAGGCGATACTGAGAGTTAGAGTAGAAGATTAAAAACCTAGAGGGAATGGACGAGCAAACTCACGATGGGGGAATTAGAAGAAGCAACGCAGACACAAGACACCTGGACAGGATGGAATCCCAGCTAAATTTTACATCAAATTCTGGGATGTACAGTGAGGGAAAAAAGTATTTGATCCCCTGCTGATTTTGTACTTTTGCCCACTGACAAGGAAATTATCAGTCTCTAATTTTAATGGTAGGTTAATTTTAAAAAGAAAATCCAGAAAAACGCATGTCAAAAATGTTATAAATTGATTTGCATTTTAATGAGGGAAATAAGTATTTGACCCCCTCTCAATCAGAAAGATTTCTGGCTCCCAGGTGTCTTTTATACAGGTAACAAGCTGAGATCAGGAGCACACTCTTAAAGGGAGTGCTCCTAATCTCAGCTTGTTGCCTGTATAAAAGACACCTGTCCACAGAAGCAATCAATCAATCAGATTCCAGGCTCTCCACCATGGCCAAGACCAAAGAGCTCTTTAAGGATGTCAGGGACAAGATTGTAGACCTACACAAGGCTGGAATGGGCTACAAGATCATTGCCAAGCAGCTTGGTGAGAAGGTGACAACAGTTGGTGCGATTATTCGCAAATGGAAAAAACACAAACGAACTGTCAATGTTCCTCAGCCTGGGGCTCCATGCAAG